CTCCCCTGGCCATTTGCTTCCCTGGCTTGCCAACACTGCAGAGTGAACCTGTACCTCTGTGTATGCAAAGTCATGCTAGCCCAACCTCCCACATCATTAAGTATTAGGAAGTTGCCAAATGCTACTGACTTGCCAACATTTCTTAGGGGTACTTGCAAGGTAGAGATTGTCCTCCAGAAGGTGAGGCAGGGCAGGAGCTTGACTTTCATGGTGTGAATTACCCTCTAAATATTTTTTTTTTATTTTTCTGTAGTCCTGGGGTATCGACATTCCTAACCTAAATACCGCAGGGGAAGACCCTCTCTGTGCACTGTACTGCAACCCAGCTAGTGAGTCCCAGATATCTCACTGAGCATGGTTGGCTTGGAAAACCAGGTGCTGGGGATGATCCAGCAGTAGAGGAGGACATGCCCCTAGCAAAACTTCAGCAGTGTGAACACAGTGCTTCCTGAAGACACAGCCTCTGAAGACCTTGTGGTCTGTGACTGTCATGGTGATATGGACTGGTCATGTACAACAGCTGTTCATGTTATAATCTGGCCTATTGATGTGAAGTGATAGTGGTGGAAGTCCTCATTTCCCTCATGGCATTGTCAGCCAAGATGATCTGGTGGTCTTGCTGGTGATCTCTGGCAGAGAGCTTAGAACATTTTCAGTCAACCTAGCATGAGTCAAAATGCTAAGATGTGCCCATGTCTTTCAGCTTCACTGCATCTGGTATATTCTGAAACCTCTCAGGCTTGCAGTCCTTGCAGGGCAGCTAGTAAACACGTGGCAATGACTGCCTCCTCATTATACCCAGCAGGGACGCAAATGCTGGTTGCAGGACTGGGCTCTACATGCTTGTGTCATGCTGTATGAACAACCTACATGGGCTCCTTCATGGATACAAGGGAAGGAGCTGAGTTTGCTACATAGAAAAGTGATAGTCACCCATGAAAACTGTAATCAGAATGATCTGTTGCCAGATTATTTGGTCCTGGAAATAGCAAGAAACTCTAAAAGAGCCTCTGTAGCCAGAACACTGTTCTGCTGGCTGATTCTCTAAAAGGGAGGAAAAAAAAATAAAAATGGAGCATCCGTTTTAATTAGTGATGGGAGCTTGCTGTGCTGCGATCAAAGGAGAAAGACATTTGCAGAATCAAGCTAAGATCAAAGTATCCTATGTACAGTAAGGGCCTTTTCCTCTTTCTGCTGACAGTGGTATGCCCTGCTGTTCCTCCAGGCATGCTGCCCATAGAGATGCTTAATTACTAAGTAAGGAGTAGGCTACACATGCAAGAGAGGATGTGATGGTCACTGTAATCCAGTTATAGGAGAGAACTTGGTGGTGATTGATTCTTGTTGTCTCTCACAAGTAATTCAACTTCTCTGAATGCTCAGAAAAGATCTGGATTGTGTACTTTTGGAAAAGGAGATCCTTTACAACACCCTTTGCTTGATTTTTCTAACCTCTTCTGTGTAATTTGACTAACTAGATGGGGCTGTATGCATGAGCATATATCTATATTTGCATTTGTATCTACCCAAGGGAATTCAAGTCCTCATTCCTTAGGCTGCATGGAAAAATCACTATCCCAATAGATAAACTAAATTTGAAATATCTTCCTCCCTCTCTCCTCTGCCTCCCTCCTTTTGCATTAGTGCAAATCTACATTTTTGCAACTGCTAATTTTGAAATATTTAAACATGTAACATTTGTTTGAGTTTTCCTCCTAAGTGTCTTCCTGGGTATACAGGTTTATAAGTATGTATGTCTTTGTGTGCATCCACTTGTGTTCTGGGTCATAACTATTGGTGTGGAAGGATGCAGTCATGTAGATTCTTTTGTAGATGGACAAGGGCATGTTTGAGTGTGTTACATTTGCTAGTAACCTGAGATAAGAAGAAAGACACTGTAACTTCTTAAGAGCATTTGATCTTTGCTCTTTTAGCTGTTTCCCTGGGAAAGGAGTTAGATCATAGTAACATCCCCCAGTGCTGTGTTAACACACAGACCTACCTCCCTGACTATGCTGATGGAAGAGGAGTTTGCCTGCTATATTTTGTCTCCTGACTCCCCTGTCACCTTGTCCAAACTCACTTGTCAGACGTGGTTGTGTGTTTTTTCCCCAGATGTAGCCCTGCAGGTGCCACTAAGCTGAGCAAAATGAGTCCTTGTCTTTGAGCATTGCCTGCCTTTTATGCATCCTGGGCCAGAGAGCAGCTGACAGGCCCTGGGATGCATGAGGCAAAGACAAGTCTGGGGATCTGGCTTTCCCAGTGGTTTAACAAGACAGAGAAAGGACAGCATGATGTGCTGGTCTTGGCTGCCCAGTTTGAAGTAGCTCCCCTTGGCAAGAGACGTGGACAGGGACCTTAGCTCTTGCTTAGTGCTCGCCCCTCGCAGACACCACTCCATGACATTCAAATTAAAAGGGATGCTGTGGTGCCTTGAGAAGAGGAGGAGATTATGGGGACTGTGAGGTGCTGCTGGGCAGGAGTAGGGCACTGGCAAAGCAAGGAGAATATTTTGTGTTTTCTTTCCTTTTAAAAGTTGTTCATAACTAGATTGGGAAATTCTCAAATGTCTTGATAATTATTTTTACAGTGAAGAAATGATATATATTCTATTTTAGTGGTTTTATTATTCTGCAGGATGTTTACAATCACCTAATAGTAAATATTTTGAGTAACAAGAGCATGGTTATGTATTAAAATCACATCATCTTGATGACTGAGTGATTAATGTAACTAATCCTGCAATGAAAAATTTAAATTCTAACTTTTGCAGTAAATTTGGTATGTAAATACACTTTCATACTACTCCTGAATGACAAGAATTTGGATGTGTGGGTTTTGCTTGTAGGGGAAACTGGAGGGGCTAAGGGGTGGAACTGAAGAACTCCTGATGCTATTCCAAAGCAAACGAGTAGTTGGTTTTCCTCTTGTGGAGAGCATCTCATTAAATCTATGCTGAACGTGGCAGAGGAGCTTTCTGCACCGTGTTGGAGGGAGAGGTTAATCCAATAAATATCCATATTATTGTGACTTTCTGCACACTATTTAGCACATGGATGAGGCTAGACTGGATTAGCAGTCACAGAAAGGTAGCCTTCAAATTTAGGCCTGCAGAACGATGGTCCCTTGTCAGGGTAATATTCAGTATGAGACATCTTCAAAGTTGATATGGATCACTTTTGGGTTTTGGACTAATGCCACTGCCTGGCCAGCCACAAACAAATGAGGATTCCAAAACCATTCCCGATCTGTTCACTGACCACAGATGCAACTGGAAGGCAGATGTCTTGTAATGAAGGTGATACTTATTACTGGCTCTTCAAATTATTTTACTTCTGTTGGCTGCTGACAGCCTTGCATAGGAGATTGATGGATTAAGCTTTCACCAGCTGTTCCTCATCCAGGCACCTAATTCCCTGACATGTTAGCACCAGAGATTAAACATTTCCCTAGGAATTTCCAAAATGTTATATATTTTTAAATATGTTCCAAGCCTGCGAGGAAAGTAAGACTTGGGTTTTCTTTCTGCAAAATGAGAAACTCACAAATTTCACTTGGAGAGACTATAATGGTATTTTGCCTGGCTCTGTTCTGAGTCACTTCTGAACCTCCTTGAACTACTTGGGGCTCTAGAGATGGGAGATATGAAGGAAGGAATGGAAGTCTGGAGGAGGTTGCTGAGGATTTGCAAGCTGGGTTATCGCAGCTCCACAGCAGGTGCTAGAGACTTTGGATCTGTAGCATCTGAAGTTCAGCACTTCCAGGCTCTGAGCACTCAGATAGGCTGGGAAGGATCCCAGCATGCAAGAATGCAGGAGACCACTCACCTTTTTCTCAGAAATGATCCTGTTTGATTTCTTTATAGTTCAGATAGAAACCTGTTGTCATGGAGCATTTCACCTTCAGCAAACCCAGTGTCTCTTGGCAGAGAAGAGAAACTTTGCTGGCAGCCCCTTCTGGAGTCAGCAAGAGAATAGTGCTGTCCACAGACCACACCTGGTTGCTAGCAACAGTCTGGTGTTGCCTTGGAGCTTGAAAACTCCTTGCCTTCTCCTCCAGCAGTATCCCACATATTTTGAACAAAAAAAGTAGTGAGCTGTGATAAAGAGAGTTGTTTTTCATAGTCAGTATTTTGATTTTCTGGGGAAAAAATGGCTTAAATAATTTTAATGCTCCTAAAAATGGTGGTGGTGACTCCTTGGTTAGTTTCATTTGACAAGATTTTGGCAGTAGGAAGGGACGTATTTCCTGGGTGACTTGCAGTCTAAAAATTGCAGGCTTGAGCTGCTGCACTGGGAAACTGGGGTTTATCAGGCTTTGAGCCCTGTCCAGCTTGTGTGGAATGCAAAGAAGCGAATGATGCAAATGCTGGAAAATAAATGACATTTTATGAGATCCTCCGTTATCAGTAGTATTTTATCAGCAGCTAGATAGAAATAGCTAGGCTGGAACAATTTTAGATTTTTTACCCTTTAAATAGTACTAAAATGTTGTACTAAATGTTGTACTGTTGTGTTTAAATAGTACTAAAATGCTCATGCTGGACTTTCAGAGAGGTAGAATTCAGGAAAGAACTGTTCTTTGATGATACATGTTCTCTCTTCTTAACCCTTGGTAAGAGCTTTCAGAATGCGGCTTCCTTTTCTGTTTCAGTGCTGTAGGGTATCATTAAGATTGATGGGTTTGAAAACATATTTCATTACCTCTTAGATTTACCTGCTCTTATGGCCCTTTCCCCATCGCCAAAATGAAGCCTGTTGTTTTCAGAGGCTCTGAAACTAGAATGCTCTCACTTAAAAGGGCTGCCTATCCATATTTGCCTATGAAAAGGTCTGCATGAGAGCAGCCTCATCTGTTGAGAGAGGAAAATATTTTTTTTTAGCCTGAAGTAATGGGTAAGGGACAGTTGTGTAACTACAGGATGCTGCTGTCATGACCTGCATGTTTATGGGGTTTGAACTGGTTGAAATGCTTGAACTGGGTGTCCTTCTTTTTTCCAGGTCTGGTGTGTCCTCTGGAGGTGTCAGTCAGTTCAGGGAGCATCCAGGTTGCCCGAGGCCAGACAGCAGTATTGCCCTGCACCTTCACCACTAACGCTGCCCTCACTAACCTTAATGTCATCTGGATGGTCATTCCTCTTTCTAACGCCAACCAGCCTCAACAGGTAGGTCCTTTCTCACTGGCACATGCATTCCTTTGGGACTTTCCTTTTCCTCACCTTTTTTCACCCCAAGTCTGGATGTGGTCCCTTTACAGTGCTGAGTCTCTGGTTCTCCCAGAACATTCCCTTAATTGCTGAACGTGCCCTCTGAATCTTATATGAAAATTATTTCTTCAGTGCTTTGTTAACTGATGTGCATTGTGTCCTTGGCTGGATGTGCAATTGGGGCAGGTGTATGTGATACTGTATGACTGCCCTGGATCTCTGGTGGTTGGTGTTTTTTTTTGTTTGGTTGGTTTTTTTATGAGCACAGGAGATGTAATCCAGGTTTTGGTGCTCTAGGTATGGGATTTGGAGTTCAGGGAGCAGCTACAGGCTTGAACCTATGACATTTATGTAAAATATATGCAGAACACATGGCATCTCATCAGCTCTTTTCATCTTTTACTTCTCCTCCTACTTTTTCACTGTCTGTTGTTCAGGCAAGTTAATTTTTATTAACATTAACAAGTGAAGGCCTGTTGTGGTGGACAGAAGAATCATAGCCTGAGATCTGATAGCCTGCTTTTTGTCTGCATACTCTGGCAGAAGAAGAATGCCACTGTTCTGCAATGCATCTGTCTTGGGTCACACTGCCCCCATCACATTAGGTATTCAGTTGTGACAACCTGCACAGATCAGTACTTGCTTCTCAGAGTCTCAGTCTGAGTACAGACTGCTATGTGAGCTGTCTGACTGCTAGAGGCTGTGCAGGTTCAAGGGTTGCATTGCCTGCCATTCAATTCATCCCAATGATCTCCAGTAAGCAGTGTCAAAGCATGGCATGATCTTGCTTGCTGAGATTCAAAATGGTACTGCCCACTTGGCAGACACTTTCCATCAAAATACTCACTGACCTGCAGAAAGTGTCTACTTCACTACATTGATTCTTTCCGGAGGGGTAATGACTATTATATGGAGCAGGTTGGCATTGCCAATTCAGCTGTACCAGAAGATTTGAGTATCTTCCTGGTTTGTTACCTCTGTGAACATTTTTGTTGACATAAAACAGGCTACAGGGTGTGTTCCTCCTTTAGAGAAATCATGCTAGGATGGATATGCCTGGGACAACCGTATACTGAGATTTGGTTATTTCAAGATGCTTTAGGGACTGGTGCTTTCGTTTTTTGAAGCCCATGTTTTGCTTGCTCCTTGCTCTTTCTCCTTGCTCAGCTCCTGCAGAGTGTTGTTTGAGCCTTCCTTTCTTTTCCAGGTTATTCTCTACCAAGGGGGTCAGATCTTTGGTGGTGCACCCCAGTTCTACGGGCGAGTGGGGTTTGCTGTGACAATGCCAACCACCAGTGCCTCCATCTTCATCAACAACACTCAACTATCAGATACTGGCACATACCAGTGTTTGGTCAACAATCTTCCTGACCGAGGCGTCAGGAATATTGGAGTCATTGGACTTACTGTATTGGGTGTGTTTATTTGGATTATGGGGCGGGGGAGGGGGGGCGGGAGGAACAGGGATAAGGGGCATAACAGTGCATCATAGCAGAGCAATATCTTAGTGTAGGCATTATAGTCCATGGACATCCTGTGGTGAGAGATGAGCTGCCTTGTGGGTATTGGGGGAATTTGTAGGGCACATAGTCTTCATATGCAGGTAGCAAATAATGGATTTTTAAAATATGATGGAGAGAAAGCTCTTATGGCAGCATTGTGATGTGGAAGTGAAAAGAAGCATGAGTAAAGTACAAGGGCATCCTGGAGAGCTGAAAGGACCATAAAAGTTTTGTGCATAGCAACAGAAAAAGAGAATTACTTTATAATTTTGCTTCCTTTTCATAAAAGCACTTAGTACTAGATGCTTCCTAGGATGTTGAATACTCCAGAGTGTGTGACATTATGGGGATATGAAAGCAAAACCCCAACAAAACCCCAACAAATTCTCTCTGCAGCTCTGTTAGCTCTCACCACCTTTGCTGTCTCAAACATATAAATATCCACCTTTTTCACTCAGGAGGGGTCTAAAAATGCCGAGTCCTATGAAAGTCAGCAGTAGTTACCTTGATGGGCTGGTGAGTCAGGAATCCTCTTGAGTTGTCACCCCACAAACCTTAATGAGTTGTTGTCTGCTGCCTCCCTCTTGTCCCCTTGGCAGCTTATGCTGGTTTGCTTGCTTTTCCCATCAGCACGTGTCCTGAAGGAGCCTCCACTCCACTGTTTGGTCATAATTCCTGATCTGCTGTCACTTTCCCCTCTTCTCTTGCAGTTCCTCCTTCTGCCCCGCTTTGCAGAATCCAGGGTTCCCTGGATGTGGGCAGCGATATCACACTGACTTGCAGCTCGGAAGAAGGCATTCCCCGGCCAACATACCTCTGGGAGAAACTGGACAATGTTCCCAAGTTGCCCCCAACTGCCACACAAGGTGCTTGTTCTGTTGATTTTCCTCTTACTTCCCAGATGACAGCCTGGGCTTCCCTTTATCTGAGCCACCAGAGGTGGCATGGCTCACTGAGTGCCTGCTGTCACTTGTATGGTCGCTTTATTGGAGTGAAGATTCCTAGAGGGACTAGATACCCTCAGGTGGCCACTTACATTTTCATGTTGTTTATGTACAGAAACATGTTTCTCATTGAGGAACAAGGGTCTGGTCAAATGGGAGAGGGATAACATGGTTGCCAGAATCTGCCATGTGGATGGAGATTTCAGCTGCTGGCTCACTTGCATTTTAAACCAAATGAAAAGCTCATAGATTGGAAACTGGGAGAAGGGAGGCAGAATCACCCCATGAAAAAACTGTCAGCTTCACACACTGAGTTCACTGTTCTCCGATAAGTTACTGCCTTTCAAATGTGTGTAAAAGGAAGGTTCTGATCAGACTGGGCATTGCCCAGCCCCTAGTCCCATCTGTAAGATTTCTCCACCTAGCTGTTCTGAAGAAATAGTGATAATTGTGCTTTTGTCCTTTATCTTGCTGTATTTTAAGAACACAACAAGCATTCTAGTTTTATGTAATTCAGGAATAAGGAAATTTGGCAGAGCAGGGTCTGGGGACCCCAAGGATGGGAGAGCTAGGAGTTGATTTAACTTAGGATTGAACTTAGCAGATAGATCTGGATATAGATAATTGCATACCTCTTTTTTTCCTCCCTTTGTCACACAATGCTAAGAGTCTCAAGCTTTTCATTTGCAGAAATTCATCTATAAGTAGAAAAAGAAATATCTAGTGTAAGCTCCTTAAGACCTAATTTGTGTGTGTGTATGTGTGCACGTGCACATTGTTTCCATCTCAAGGTTATTTTGTAATTTCTTTCTCTCTTAAGAGTCTCACACCAAAAATCTCTATTTGCTGCCTTTGCCTTTTCAGTTTTCCTGAAGGTGAGAAGGGATTTAAATCCTTCTTTTCTCTCTGACTAGACCAAGTCCAAGGCACTGTCACTCTCCGAAATATCAGCACTGCGTCCTCAGGTCTTTACCAATGTGTGGCTTCAAATGCCATTGGAACCAGCACTTGCCTTGTGGACCTGCAAGTCGTTGCACGTAAGTATTTTGCCAGCAGGGCCTTGACCAGCTCTGTCTTGTGACACTACAGTGTGTAGCCATGTTTGCTGTGCCTCTCTATCAGAAGATCTTTCTGCCCTGGAGCGGGGATGTTCCCTTTGCCCCCCTCCTCATGCACAGTAGCTTGGAAAGCCTCAGGGATGGCCACAGATAAGCCCTGATTTCTTCTCCATTCTCTGTTCAATCATTCCCACAGCCCATCCCCGAAGCATTGGCCTGATTGCAGGAGCAGTGGCCACAGGTGCTGTCGTGCTCGTTGTTTGCATTGTGTTGGTGGCTGTGGCACTGTTTTACTGGAAAAATAAACACAAAGAGGAAGAAGAAGAGGAGATTCCCAATGAGATAAGGTAAGGGTCAAGGAAAGCTGGTGGCAGGGGACGTGTAATCACCCGGCAAAAGCAGTGGCTTAGCAGAAAGGCAATCAGGAATCTTGCTAATCCTGGGTGTGTTCCTCTGGGCTAGGGGAAGATGTCCGTATACCTTCAGAAAATGGAAAGAACAAATGAAGAATGGTAACTACAGGTTTTGGTTTCAGTACTGCCGTTGTTGAGAGCTTTGGTTTGATGTTTTTAGCTCCATAAGGAGAGTGACGTGGTGGGGATGCTGATACAAAATAGCAGGCAGTGATAGCTGAAAAGCTCTGGACGTACAAAAGTGAGATTCTCTGGTGTTACAGCCACAGCATTTCCCATGAACATGGGACATTTGACCTCAGTAGTGGGTGCATGGAGCAATTAACGCGCACAGAGATGGGTCCTTCAAAGCGGGATGAGCAAATGGGCCAAGGAACGATGCTGGCTCACACTGGTGTTGCCCTTCACCTTGAATTGAGAATGTTGACCCCAGCTGGGAGGTGGGTTGGATGGGGTAGATCTTGGGCAGGCGGGGCATCATCCTTACCCTGTCTCCCTCCCAGGGAGGATGACCTGCCGCCCAAGTGCAACTCCACCGCCAAGACATTCCACGCCGACGCCTCCTCCTCGGAGCACGACACCCTCACCTCCTCCAACACCTACAACAGCCGCTACTGGAATGACCCCAAAGCCAACCACGCCACAGACTCCTTCACCCGCTTCAGCAACAGCAACGACGCCCACCAGCT